GGGAGTAAAAATTGACGCGTGATCATTTCGGAACGCGCTTCATTGTCGGAACAATCAGACAAGACCTCCTGTCTGTTACAACATCATATCCACTAGGCCCGTCTGTGTTTTTATCTTTTTTCCCGCCCTTTATTTGCCCTGATAAAGATCATTATTGGTCCAAATATAAGCTGATCATTCCAGTAAATTTTGGAGAAAATCCCAGGTTTGGTTTCAGTTCATGTTCCACACAATCTCCAAGCATTTCGCACACCGTTAAGCGTAGAGTAAGTGTGTGCTATTTCGGTACTCTACGAGACTATTATATTGTAGATAGATCTAGGTTCTAGAATTATAAGAGCATCCCAGTATCCCATCAGGTGCATAAGCAACGCTGCTGGAACTGTCGAATGTTTTCATACTGAGTTGTGGATTGTGTTTGCCATTTAAGTCCCCTATGCAGGATACACAAATCGCGGAAAGAAAGGTTCGATTAGTGGAATTCTACCGACTTGCTGCAGGGCTTGGGACACACAGTTGCTTTGTATTCGTTCATAGTCTGGCTGCGGAGGCACTTTGTTGAAAACGCTTGCTTTAGAACCAATAAAGAGTAAACGAAAAATAGCTCCCTTAGTTCTGCTGGTCAAAGGGATCGGAATCCAGATAGGTACAACCCTATTAGACTTTGTGAGTCTAGCCCATTCCGATACATGACTTGAATACATTGTCCAGTTGAGAAGCGCCTGGGAGGAAGTATAGTATGGTAACCTCTGTTACCGACTAAACTATTTTTCACGTGGTAAAGAAACAAATCGTCATTCAATGAAGAGAGGAATATTATGGTTGAGATAAATCCTGTGTATTCCAAGTTCCTACATGTCTCTGTACGGAATGGATAGCATAAAATGGAAACCCGGTCTTAGTGCAACTGGTTCTCCGCCTCCCCAAGGCTGGTTCGCATTTAGAACTGTGGAACAATATGTGATCCCTGAAGTCTTCAAAACGTATTTTTGTGATAGCCATAAAAGAATCCAAAACATCGTTGACAGAGGTATGAAGATGGACGTGTATGCAGTTAAAATGTATTGCGAGGGATTCAACTCTTTGGTATAGTTCAATTTCTGTGCACCCCTGAAGCATCTCGAAAGTATATTTAGTCATAAGTTGGACATATGGATACTTTCGCATTATTTCGGACCCATCTCAAGAAACTCAGCCTAGCATCATATCCTCGCAGCAGCCGCATACTTCTCTGGTTATGTTCACACCGGAATACGCTAGGAATAAGAACAAGCTGTTATGTTGGGTAAGGTGCACCATAAAACTTCAGAAGTAACGCATCATCACTGTCAACACTAGTAAACATACTGCACTGACTAATATCTTCTGCCAAATTTGTCCCGAATCTATCGATTTGTATCTCTTCATGTGTGAACACTATGCTCATGTAAACCGTGGAAGACCCAATAGGGAAGCAGTTAGTGTGGATTCCTTCAGCAGTTGGGATTAATCCGAAGAATAGCCACTTAAAACATGTTCAGTGATTAGGCCTTCTCCATTAAGAATCAGCTCCCCCCTGATTCGCATTTATTTCGGCGGCTAATTCTACAGGAACGCTGAGCGTATTATTTAATATATAATTTACATAATACATTGTTCATAATATAATAAAAACGATGCAGAATTGTCACGATGAATTCACGTACGGAGCATTCACTTTCAGTAAAACCAAATCTTTCGAAACCAAGGTTCAATTCGTTGTAGGAAACACGGTTGTCACCATCCAAGTCCACTATAGAAAACAGCTTCAGCAAGCCTCGATGCAACGTCTCCTGCTTCATTTTTCTGAATTATGCCTATGGGGAAAAATGTTAGACTAAACATAAAGATTTCAAATGTAGTGGAATTACACTGACTATAAACTCAGACCAGATAACGCATGTTCTGTCCATATGGGCTACTTGGAGAATTACGGTTCTTGTGAAGATGAACAGAAAGATACTTCTTATGGAACAAAGCATAGGAACTCATCTTTTATGATATGTTTTAAAGGAAATTTACCACCTTGTATATCATCCTTAAAGAAACAAAACTAATTTGACTTTTATCATGAAGTTAGATTCGTCCTCAAAAGAATCCTTCAGGTGATCTACAGCGCCCATGTGGGGCGGAGTGAGTGCCCAAACCCAAAAGAGGGAGAACAGTTACTAGACATCAAGCTGCTGCTTGAAACCTCTGATCTCCCAAGAACAGCATCAATAGCCACCACTTCAGAAGTAACTTCCAAGGTGGATCCGTTGCTGCAACCAAGACGCCATACCGGTCGCGCCAGAAGACTGGTAAAACCTTTACAACTTGACCCACGCCGAAAATCTTACACTGAACGGCCAATAAGGGGAGATATCAGAAAGGCCAGATTCCTGAAAGTGATTGTAGGACGCCCGGAACCTGTTGAGACCCCAAAAGCTCCACCAAAATCTGTATAGGAAAGCCGGTAAGCATCCAGGCCAGCCAATAATTCAATCAATTCAGCAAAAGCCGATGAGTTTTCAGGTACGGCACAGAAGCAGGACCGAATGTGATCAGCGTTCGAGGATTTTGTAGAAGCACGATCGATGTTGATGGGTGTCCAACAAACGCCTAGCGGACAGCCTGGATCAGTGTCAGAAAGTGCGCTTTAAACAGCACGGGACAATTGTAACTTTTGCACTCGCACGCACTAACTCGACTGTTCGGAATATAGCAGTTGTGTTCCGTTCTTTGAGTCTTTCTTGCGGCACTAGGAACTAGAGCGGGGTCAGCAGTAGCTATAACGTCTTTGAACATAAAAATGTCTTGCGTGTGAAAATTTCCACAGGAAGCTAATTGAAACTTCAGTGTTGACTTTCGTCAACCTATTGCCTTAAAGCGAGGAACGGTGTTTGGAAGTGTAGTAGTTTAGATGAAGTTAGCCTGATCCCCTGGATTAATTTACCCCACAGGTTGCTTTCTCGCCCTTCTTTAGTTGTGTTTGCGAGTAATTTGCTAGAAATAAGCGTTATCTATGATCACAAAGCCACCACTGGTTGTCTTTCCTTTAAAATCGAATGCCATAAGCATAATTGTTACAATGGTAGACCACAATGTCACGGGTTTTTCTTAGCCGTCGGGTATCGGTGTTGTAAGATAGTTTAGCGTGTGATACAGGAGAAAGACTGTTTTTCGAATGGGCTGGCATGCAAAGGAAGGCTAACGAAAGTGGAACGTTGGGAAAGACACTAACAGCTAACAGTTCAATGAAGTCCAGGTAGCATCCATTGTATTTTCCGTCATCTTGTAGAATTACCATTTAATGAACCTGTGTAGAAGACTAACCCAAATTGGCTAGGTGGTACGAAACTATTAACTTATATATCAACCGCCAAACTACCAGTGACTGGAGGAACGCACTTTGCTGCGAAATCGCCTATAAACAAACACAACCTAAGCGGTTGCAAGCCATTGGGCACAAAATAAAATATCCCATCTGCACAGATATTTTAAGAAGCAAACATTCTCAGGCGTTCTCTTGAACATTGGTGGGCGTTCTTTGGATATTCTATAATAATGAACGAATATCGCAAAGCAGTTTCCTGACCGTCCATCACATGCCAGGGCAGATCTTGGATGCCAGACCAGATAAAACTTGCATGCTTCGTCGGTAGCATATACCATTACATCGCTTTATCCGCTTAGCTAGTACATTTCTGTACTTATGCGCTGTGCTACCAGGATATCGTCGCCTATGGCTTGGTAGAATTTGAATATTCTTTCTTACTCGCAAATTTCCATAAAGCATTCGAACTTGTATTACTTTCGAGGGGCTAGCTTCTTCCCCCAGAACTCCTCCAATAAAGAGCGAGCACATCTTGTCAGAAGGAAGTTCTACTGACTTTCGTAAGTGACTTACTAAAAGTAGATGGTCCGTCTTATTAGGTGGGCCAACAATTATCAACTGCTCATAGTATTAATTATAGGTGATTTCGGAATATACGTAGTTTCCGTTGGCATTGCTCGCCTTGACAGTTAACCTCAAAGCTCAATTACGTGTGGAGCATAAATCCTACAAATTTCCATAGTTTCACGTCCAAATAAGCCTGCTGATCCCACCTGATAGTAACGATTCCCAGTTGATTGTTTGCCATGTACCCATCCTACTGTGTGGCGAGCTGTGACGCCCCCACACGTTCTCACCACAACAATGTACTCCATCCCATACATAAATTACTCTTAAGAAGTGACAAGAAAAACAACTTGGCATAACGAGATATCCAACAACATCAATGTGTGCTATAAATCCAGCGGCCTTTCTTCAACGTATTCTATGGCCTATCATGACTTTGGTTATGTTCATCGCCTTACCAGTGTTACGCGGGAGTGCTTTAAGGCAGGGGAACTTTATACGGATATGGTATTCTTAAAACTTTTTAAAAACGTTGGCAATTAGTGGGGCATTTGTTGACCAAGAGATGTATTTAAAAGTTGCACTGCATGTCATTCCATGCCTACAGTTGCCTTTGTAGACTAAACGTGGTCCAAAAACGTTTATAGAGTCGTGCCCCGAACGGATGCCTTCAATTCCTGCTTTCCGGTCGTAATTTCGGTGACCGCTATCCATCTCTAAATCAACAACATGTCAAATCAATACAATAAATCAACAGCAAAATGGTTACTTTTCCCTGAAGCGGAAAAAAGTAGTCTTAGATAATTGCTATCCCGATTGAAACCACACGCATAATCCATTGGTCTTGTGTTTTAGTTTAAAACGGGTCAAAAACTGCTCCATTATAAAGCCTTCCGAATCTTTGTCAGACGATAAAATTCTTCCTGTAGCTCCTGCATCCCGGCAAATAAGTGAAATTTACAGTAGATTTTATACGTGCAACTTACACCAAAGATAGCCGCAATATGCTTTCTGTATTGATGCCAGTAGAGCATAAAGTGTTCCTGTCAGGATGCAGTTTGTCGCTTTTTATTAGGGCATATAGCACATAACATGATAATATGTGCTTGTGTCAGCTGATTGGTGAATCAAGCATATCACCTGCCTCACATTCTGATCAAGAGTAAGTTCAGCTAATTGCGTGACGACTTTGTTGTGTTTACGTAGTACACCAGTATAGAGATTCAGAGTTCCGTGGTGAAAAACGTGACCAAATTCGGCGCAGAGTACCCTTTCTGAGTCAGCTTTTCTGAATCAGTTTTATCAGCCTACTCGACCGCAAAGCCGTATAGCTTTTGACTGCGGAAAAAACGCTCTACAGTGAATTCTGCATACTCTACGACCATGTCGGGAAAAATGGAGCCTGATATTCCAAAAGGAACCCACTGCGATATCCGATTGCATGTTTTATGACTTTGCTGTGTTTCAAAGGTATTAGGAAGGTCCAGTTAGTTGGAGCACTTTCTTTTGAACACTCCCACCTCGGTTGGGCGTTATATCGCTTTGTCCACGGTAGGTAAAGCTTGGATCCACCTGATACCAATCACTCACCAACACTCACCCCGTATGATCTCAAAATGCCTAACGTCTATAGCTATGTTGCCGGGATCCCGTTTGAAGGGATATTTTGCCAATCCTTTTAAATACCTTGGCTTGGACACTAAAAGTTTGAGAACAGCATCTCGCTCACTATCATTGAAACCATTCTGCTTGCCGTTATTTCAGTTCTCGCCGCTGCACTATTTGAGCTAAAATGTTTTCGAATAGACTGTTTTGAGTAGGATTCCATCTCTAAACGTACACTTTTCGCGATATTCCTCATGGATGTGAAATGTCGCCTAGCCAGACGTTTCAGTATTCCAGATGTGTACTTTTGTAAGTAGGTGTATTAGATATAGTACTCTATACTGGCAGTAACATCGTGTGCACACTGAATCACATAATAAGAATCATCTTCACTTCCAATTATAGGAACACCATGGGACAACCTCGGATACGGAGAGTAGAATGCAGTAAAACATTTAAACAGCAAAACAGTAAATCACACACAGCTTTTGAAAGAAACTGAACGTCCAATATGATTAATTTACTACCTACAAACATTCATGTGCTTTACGAAACTACCAAGCGTGTATAATTTTTTATCTGTAGGTCGGTTTTACCAAATAAATGAGTAGAAGAATAACACAATATGGATCTCTAAAAGCAATAGTTGATAATGGTGATCATTGCATCGTAAAATCACAGCGCTTGGGCCGGAAAAGAGAAATAATATAACGAAAGAAAATATAGAATAGATTAAACAGTCAACAGTCAGTTGATAGTGAACCTACAATAACAACCAACGAACCAACGAACCAAGCAAACAAACATACATTTATACATAAATACATATTTGCATACATACGAAGCGCAATTCCAGAATTCTAGGTTTGTAAAATTTTATTAACGTGTTAATAGTACCGCTTTTGGTGATGCATCTTCATTCGAATCATTTGACTTTTGAGGTCCTCCGCATGACTCAAAGTGACCAACCCCATTGCTGGAAAAAATCAATGCCAGACACAACAACCAGCATTGCGTGCGTCGAAGACTTTGATATGGTCAATTTAATTAACATGGTTACAAATCTTGAGTTTCTGTTGTCCTTGTGAATTTTGTGGGCTGTCCTACCGCTGGCAGTACCACTATATATAATATCTCTTGTATGCGGCAGGATGGAAGCAAATGATATGCCAACATATCACAGAATTTTTCTTTCCTTTGTTTTAGTGAATCAAGTAAAGGATACCCGAGGTTTCAAATGTCAGCTGTAACAGGGCAATCCGCAGGTGCAAGGGGAAGCCGTTAGTCTTGATACTATACGTCCATGGTGCATAT